CATGGAGAAGGTTGTGGTCAATCCTCAATGGCATGCCTTGGATATGGTAATATCACATCAATAACATAGTACGGTAATGTATGGATATGGTAATATCATATCAGTCAAGGAAAATCGAGGACAAATCACAGAAAATGTCAGTTATTCTACATTTACATCATCTACAAAGGAAAAGCAGGAATTTGGAGTACTGTTGTTAATGGATGAGTATACTCTGCTTGCTTCAAATGTTTCAAAATTAAGTTTTATTTCAACTGTCCCAAATTACCCTATTCCCAGAGTTGATTTGGGATGCTTTTCTTTTGCATCAGGAACCTTACCAATATCATATGGAATTATTTTGGAGATGCCATATGGTAGCCCTCACAAAGACCTTTAAAATGAGTAACTGATTTATGGAAAGTTTCATGTTCAGAAGTTATCAGAAAATGCTGAAAATTATCCCTTATTATTCTGTTTGATGGTAGTAAAACACAGGTTGGCTAAGAACATGTAGTGGCAGCGTTGTAGACAGATTTGTGATCTATGCCTGACAAGGATAAAATGCACAATGATAAAATGAACTACTATCATACAAATTTGTTTCAGCTGGTACATAATAGTTTGGAAGAAATTTACTAACAACAGCTCCACACTGAGTCATGTTTGAAGATTGGAAGGAGAAAAGTTTCAAACTATAGTGATGTTTGAGGATTAACAGGAAAACCATCGTTAAAAAATAGAGTGATGTTTGAATATTTGCAGGATAGAAAGCTTCAAACTAAAGTATGTTTTAAGATTAGCAGGAGAATTATTCTCATAAGAACCATCATTCAACATCGATTTACTGATCATCTACCATTTTATATTCATGAGGAAATTGTAGTCCTTTCATTCGAAGATTAATGAAATCTCCTTAATTGAGGCAAAGTTTTGTTCCATAATTTTGATAATTCTCCATAACTACCTAATTGTCAAAATTCATGTTCAGGTAATATCCTGAAATGATAGGTGTGTGTTGTGGTCCTTGTGGATGCACACTGGCATGGCCTAATATATTTTATGGTGCCAGGCTTCAATAGAAAAAGCAAACAAATAAACATTAACAAATATGCCAGAGATTTTTGTTGAACCTCGTTTTCTCCAATTGTGTTAATTCCATATTTCTTGACAGCTTGAATGAATGTAGAATTTTCTATGTGAATTAAAAACTACTGCTGGTCTGATTACTTAGTTTTAGATATTACTGCAGCATTAATCAAATTTATGTAAAAATAAAAAAACTGCTTGTCTTATTACTTGGTTTTATATGTAACTGCAGCATTTTAAAATGTTATTAACATTCTAACACTTTGCACTAATTCGTAATTAATTTTTTCCTGGTAGCATGATTTTTTGTCATGAGATATAAAACCAGTCATATTGCATCTTTATATTATTATTTGGTTTCTCTGGGTCTATTATCAGTGATGGCTGTACATACAAAAGGCTAAATGATACCTTAGTAAGATATCTACTATATTCTATGAAGCCAGAGGACACAGTAATTGAGAACTTCAGTGAGATTTCTATAAAAAAAGTGTTGCCTCAATACAAATTGGTTCTGTGATTAGTTTCAGCTCCCACGTATGGAGATCTGGGATGCATCTTGGCACTGCATGCATTGAAAATTGCAGTTCAATAAATGTATTTGTGATAACTCAGACAGGTGAGGTATCTGGGATGTTTGTTTTACAGTTGATAAAGCAAGGTTGCATTGTGTACCATTCATGCATAAGAGCATTTGACCAGGGTAGGATGCATTTTCATGCTGCAGATGTGGTTACCTCCCTTCCAGCCCTCCTTTACATTGTTGTTGAGAGAAGTTGAAACAAGCGACCTCATGGGAAAGAAAGTGGCATAGCTAAAATAATATAAGGTTGACAGCTCTGCTTTGTAGATGTATTCTGTTGTTGCCTCCATGATATCAACATACTTTGTACCACAACAGCTTTATACTAAGTTGATAAAATATTGATTAGTAAATAAGTGACCAAGAATAATGAATCATTTTAATTGTATATAAGAATATTTGTGCTGACTATGTTGTTAGGAGACCCATTTTCCTTCAAGTTGTGAGGTAGCAGGAGTTTCCTGCAAGGGGTAATAGCAAACCCCAAATTCCTGATGTACAAGTTGTTTGAGTTAGCCTGTGCTACTTGATTTGTTCCTAATATCTATTACTGATAATTCTATGTTAAGTACCTGTATAGCAAATTTACTTCAATATTGCACTCCTCAGGCTAACCATGTCTCTAATTAATGTGTGGTAATTCCCAACTGTGATGAAGCAGGCAAATTATTCTGAGAAGAAGGAATTAAAATTGAATAGTTGACTCCTCTGAGTTGGCTTTTGCCCTGGTCTTGGTTCATTATGTTTGCCTTTTGTTCCCTGTTTTGTAATTGTTCCTTACTTTAATTAACAAATATAAATGAATAAAAATTAAACTAAGTGATGGTTTGGGATGGTAGTAGAAGAAGAGACCATCAAACAATCCTTTCTTTTGAAATCCCTGCTGCAGCAAACACACCCAATCACAATAAGTTGCCAACCACATAATTGCAAGAGGTTCTGTGACACTGGGCACCCAAACAGGATGCTCTTATTCTCCCATCAATCAATTTTACCAAAAATTACATTTGGAGACTTCCTTGTACTGCATTTTTTTCTTCTTCTCATAGTGATAGTTAAGCAAACTGAGGCATGCAGAGCAAAGTTGGTCTAAGTTCAGCGTTATAAAAAGACCAACTAATTGCAGTCTTCAGATATAATTTGGAGGTCAGTAGTTGTCACAATGTTTGCTGCCTGTATTGACCCAATCCTAGCTATCCTCAATGTGGAACTTGTTAATCCTATTCACTGTACATCTGTCATAATTCCTTATATTTGGCGGGTTAAAGGTCATTTAGGACATCAACTGATCATGTTGCCTACTTGCTTGAACTGCAGTCTCTTCTACAGAACCTGACTGATCATAATGTTAGGAATGATTTTGTTGAAGCTGCTATTCTTGAGACGGATGCCACTGGAATGATGCTCTATAGCCTGGATATGATGAAGTAGGGGTTTCTGCCCAGTGCTAGTTCTAGCATGATTGACAGCAGGTGTGGCTGCCTGACTGAACCTAGTAATCTGACAATGTTGCCAAGTGTCTCCCGTGGATGAGACAAATGCATATACTTTTAGTTGGTAGGTTGGCAACCAACAACTTTGGAAGTTGATAATTACGACAATTCTAATGTCTGAAGTGCTGCCAACCTATCCATACATCACAGTGTACTTGGGGTGTCAATGTTGAAGTTGGCAAATCTGGCCTATCTCTAACTTTGAACATAACAGAATTTTGCCATTTTAACCACGAAGCCACCTTGTCCATTTTAATCAGAATTGTTCCTGTTGAAGGTAGCTTGGATCAAAATCACAACTCAATGCCCCAATCTTGGTACACTAATGTATATAGTGGTATGTGTTAACACTAATATCTATAATAATGTTTCCAGATAAAAAAAATGCTTCCAGATTATCATTGCTTTGGTATCCATGCTGTTTACTTGCACATCTGTTTCAAGACACTTTCCATTTCTATTATGGTATATATATGCAATATTTGCATGTAGCCAAGTTTTGTACATCAGAGAGTTATAATGCATCTAGCAAGCAATTGTGTGCTCAAGTATTTTGTGACAGATGAATTTTGTTGCCAACTTTAAAGTTAAATTTTGAGCCCCCTGTGGGAAATTTTCCAAACAATAATAATTTTTTGTTGTTATTTCTTAAATTTTGATGGCTAGATTTTGCTTTTTGTTTATGTTGCATTCTTATTTTGTAGTTTAAGTAGAGAGCAGTTAAGCTATGATAACGATTCATGTACCAGCCATCATTCAATCATTTCGTTCGATTTTTGCTCAGTTTTTATTTATTGTAACAAACTATCAATTCACTTTTGGACAATGTAATACTCAACATCAGCTGGCCCTGCATCAGCTGTTCAATATGTTCTACCTATTTTCCTTAACTGCTATTTTACTATCATTTTGTTTCAATGAATGTACTATTTATTCCTTAAATTTATTTGCATGCTGTAATTAATTATTTCTATGGTACTCTAGGCAAATTAACAATCAATAATTTATTTCCCAAGTCTTGTCTTGTTTGTAAACGTGGCCCTCAGTGTTGGCCAAGGAACTAGATTACTCCGCTGTGACCAACGTTTCCATATATTTTCCTTAAATTTACCAAAGCCAAATCTTCAACTGTACTTCCCTATTATCTGTCTAGAGTACCATCCCTTTTACTAAGTTCTTATATGCTTTGAATTTGCCACCTTTGAACAGCATTAACACTGAGAAGCATCCAAATCTTAGATTCATTAATAATTCATGATACATTATTCATTATTTGCTTGATATTCATACATAATTTGTTCATTATACAGCTAGGATATTTCCATCGATAGTGAACAATATTAATTTTTCTTTGCAGAATTAGGGACCCTTGGGGCAAATTCATTACAGATCTTTTTTTGCTGGATTTGATGCGACAAATTACTAGATACCACTATTTTTTCTAAATTGTCACCTTGCTCATTCTGTTTTTATTTACTCCAGCTTATAAACCTTCTAACTTAGCTACCTTATTATACTTGCCATATCATTGCCTGTATAGCACCTGCAGATCGTAAATTTTCAATAAATATCTGCTGAATCTATTCCTGCTTTATTTTGTCTAATTGTGTAAATTAGTGATAATTTCTCACACTATTTCATTTCTTCAGTTTCCATAATCCTTCCAGTGTTATTGCAATTGCTGTCAACATAATAGGTGGATTAAAAATTTCAACATCAGTAATTCATAATTATCATCACATTTGGTGATGGCACCAATTACCAGAAAATGCAGTGTTGTGCTGCACCAACTCTCTGATGCTGCAGTCAGGAGTGGCAGATGCCCTGAGCAGAGCCTCACTCAAGTGTCTCCTGGTGGCAGCAAAGTCAAGTCTGAAGGTAAGCCAGATTCCATGTGCCTCACTTATCAGTTTCTATTGTGCCAAGGAGGATTTTGGGCTATGTGAATTTATCTGATTTAATTTTCATCTGTGTTTCTTTCATGAGAGCCTAAATATAAAATTTGATAACATTGTGTGGCAATAAGGGGATCACTTTCTTCTGAGTGATATTAACATTTTGTCTAAATTCATTGTGAGATAACTTGCTCCATAACCCAGTGGCACCAGTACATCAATGAACTTACTTTACAGCCTTGGAACATGACAACTCTCCACAAGTCGTCAAAGCTTCTGTTAATTCCATTAAGAAGGAGCTTGAGGATGAAACTGAAGAAGTTTCTATCAAGGAGGAACCATTTTTATATGGAAGTGAGGTAAGTGGAGCTGATATGCTTCTAAATTTTGGTCAAAGCATGTGAAATTACTGAATAGATTTTCATGAAAAAATTGGCAGAATAGTATTTCCGTAATCAAATCTTCAATTCAGGCATCAGAACACAAATCTTGATTGAGTATCAAGGCTGGAATATTAAGCAATAATAATTAGGTAAGAAGCACCCTCATCTTGATCAAATAATTGGTTAGAAGTTATGGGAAATTTGATTTATGATAACTCTCATCAAGTTTGCCATGCTAAAGCCAAACTAAAAAATTTTTCCCATAGTTTTCTACAGTCAAATACTAATGATAATGTGATTATATGTGAATAGATGGTTCCTGTCCCTATTTGCACAAACCATATAAAACTGTCAAAATTTTCTTAAAATTCTTCTCTTTTTTCAATGAATAAATTTGATTGAAGCACAGAATTCCATAGAATAGAACAGGAGAACATTCATGTGAATTGATGTAAGTTTTAACTGAAGTAATGCAATGTGAAAAAAGAAGTGCTTAACAAAATTTATTAATGCCAATTTTAATACAACAAAAACGCACTAAAAGTGTGCACTTGCTTCTGAAATTTCCAGTTATGTTATTTATACATTTTATGTTGAAAACTGGCTAGCGCAATATTTGCATTATGGTATGCATTGACATAAGAAGTCCTCTATAGAAAGTAATTTGTGATGTGCTGTTAGGAAATTAGGCTTTTGCAGAGAATTCTATGAGTTCTGTACTATATCATTTCTCATGAAATGCACACATCACTGCAGCCACATCAACATTGTCCTCCACTTCTCCCCAGAATGTCACAAGAGTCACATACCATATCTTTCCTTGTAAAATGCTCACATCACTGCAGCCACATCAACATTGTTCTCCACTTCTCCCCAGAATGTCACAAGAGTCACATACCAAATCTTTCCTTGTAAAATGCACACATCACTGCAGCCACATCAACATTGTCCTCCACTTCTCCCCAGTCTTGTTCAACTGAACATCTAAGCCCAGCACCTGCACCCTCATCTTGTGTGCCGTGCAAGACAGAAGCTCAAGTTGAGGCTCATGATGCCCTCCCAAACTCCTCACAGAACATTTCTGCTCTGTTGTTAAATCAGGTATTTATATTTAAAGATGCAGGTTCAGCTTTTCCTAGGTTAAACTATGCAACAGATTTTTTCCTGATATTTTTTGAATTACCAATTTTTTGTTTTACTGTTGCCATTTAAGTATAAAATAGTTGAGTTAATTAATTTTGGTAGTGGAAATTTAAACAGATATAAGTTTCCTTATGCATTTAATTCTGCTAGTGAAATCTAATGATTTTCGATCAAAGAAGTAGATAGCCCTATTATTGATTTCTTCTAAGCAAGGATCAAATCCTGGAACAAGATATCTAGTTCTTGCAGTGTAGGAAGACAAGGAAATGCACCTGAACCTATTACATTAAATGTAACATCCTCACATATGAAATCACATTCAGGGAAGAATAAAATTGGTAATAATCAGCACTGCACAGCTTGGGACAAAGATACCATATTGCTTGGGTTCACAACATTAGTTTTCTATTCTGAAGTTGTCTATAGTCTGCTTGGGTGAATCAAGTTCTCATACATATACCAGAAAGAGTATTTCTTTACATCAAACTGAAATATTCATATAATATTGAGAATTAAGGAAATGAAATCCAATCTTTATGTCAAAATATAAAGATTATGATTAGCACAGTAATTCTGAAAATATTTTTTATTATATAAAACAGTAGGGTTGTTGTTATTTTGGCCTTGGTCCATGTGCTATACTTTCTGGTTGGTCTTCCTCGTCAGCTACCTGTAACAAATTCATAGGAGACAGATTACGCACTGACATATTGTACTTGATTAAAGTAATAGCAATCAGTATGTACGCATAGGATATAAATCAGCTGTCCAACAAGGATGGGAGCTTAGAGTCAACAACCTTAATACATATAATAACTAGTTCCTAGTAAGCTCGGGTCTGCAATACATTTGCTACCATAATGTCAGGATACCCGCTATTTTGTTATAACAGCTGATTCCCTACACCAGGGAAGGCTGAAGGCAATGCATAACTGGAGCTGGGTCTCTTCAACGAGTTGGCAGTAGCTGCTTGTGTTGAAAATGTTGTTGATTCTGTTTTAATAACTGCTTTGGAGAATGCAGTGATCAGAACAAAGCTGTGCCAGCTTCTATCATGTAGATCTTGTATTGAAAGCTCTAATTTGTTCATTGTTCAGAGTAAAGGAAGCAAGCCTCTGGGAATTATCAGTGCATGGTATGAGTCAATGGCATTGTTGATGTAATAACCCATCCTGGTAGTGGCAACTAGTTTAGCGAGAGTGCTAGGTCAGTTTTTCAGGGCACTAAGGCCACAGGCAGTTAACAACCATCAGTGGCCCGCTGATCTGCAAAAACCATTTGCACAACAAAATAGCCTGGGCAAGCCAGGTCAACATTTATCAACCATAATTGGATGAATGGCAGAGTTAGCTAAGAGCTGAGCTCCCCAAAAGAACTTGTCCTGAGTAGGACTTGAACTTGGGCTGCTGGGTACAAGAGACTGTCTCTCACCACTGTAGCTCTGGTCAATGTTTTTGGTGTGGAGCCTGTTGCTGGATGTTTTAAGGGTAACACTGGTAATGGTGATTGGTAGTACTGGCTGAATTTCATTGATTTGTTTAGTTTTTAGACTGTTTCATGTTGCAGGGTTGGTGGTTATTTCATGTGACTTGATGGCAGGACTGTTATTGATGAGAAAATTGCTGTAAGTAGGAAACATTGCATTTTACAATCAAAATGATAATATTGTGTTGTAGCAACCAGTTAGTGTGTGTTGTGTGGCATTTTGAAACGCTTGAAGCCGAGTGATGTTGGTTGATGGTAAAGTGATCATGTCTCAGATTGGGCAGGTGTAGTCAATTATGGAACAACAAATAGTTTAGTAGGTATGTATTCCTTGGTGTAGTTAGACCTTGTTTTGCCCACACAATGTTCTGAGATGAATTTTAGTATGTTGTTCAACTCTGAGCTTTTGCTGTTGTGGTTTTGTGTTGGGGATGAAAATGAATATTGCATCAAAGGTTAGGCATAGTATATATGGGTTGTGTTCGAGCAGGTATTCAAGTTGAGACCAAGTAATTGTTACTAACTTATTTGCTCAGACAAAGTATTAATGCTAAGCAATCCTTGCAGGAACCACAAAAGATGGGGGTAAAAATCCCAAAATTTCTAACATATGTCTTATATTGTGGCAAGTCCACAGTTTAATGTGGCTGTTATTAATATGGTAGATGGTTTTACTCTGTATTTTTATCATTAGTTTGGCGAAGGTGGCTCAGCACTGGCATCAGGAGTTGCTGCTGGCGGTGCTGATGTCTCTGGGGCGTCCAGCTCAAAGCAACACATCGGGCTTGGGTGTTCCCAGCATGGATTGGTGCCTGCAGGTGCAGGCCTACTGCAGCAGCACCTTGATCTGGAACATCCTGCTTCAGGACCCCGCCCCTGCTCTGATTACACCTCTAGTTCAGGGAGTGGACTAGAGCAGCACAATAATGCTATGCATTCAATAGGCAAATCACTACAGCTCCCTCACTGTGAACAATCGCATGCCACAAGAAAACCACTGCAAGAGCATATTAAATTCAAACAGCTGTGCGGAAGTAAACACCAATGCCAGTTTTGTTCGAATTCATGTGCCACGGAAGCTGATCTCAAAAACCATATTCTTTCACAGCATCCTTACAGACATGTGCAGAAATACTCTCAGAGTAAATATGCTGATGGTTGCAAAGAATTCAAGCAAACGCATTGCCATTCTAAATATTCATCAACGAAGAAGTTTTGCTGCACCAAGTGTGATTATGCTTGTGCCACAAAACAGCGCCTGAAAAGGCATTGTCTTTACAAGCATTCAACAGAAAAACCTTTCAAGTGCTCCATGTGTGATTATGCTTGTGCTGTTGAAGAGGACATGAAAGGACATTTTCTTCGCAGACATTCAACAGAAAAACGTATTCAGTGTCCGGAGTGTGATTATACTTGCACCACAAACATGTACTTGAAAAATCATTTGCTCAGCAAGCATTCAACAGAAAAACCAGTTAAGTGCTCGGAGTGTGATTATGCTTGCACCACAAAAGGTGTCTTGAAAAGTCATTTTCTTCGCAAGCACTCAGCAAAGAAAAATTTTCAGTGCTCAGAGTGTGATTACGCTTGTGCCATTAGAGGGGGCATGAAAAGACATTTTCTTAACAAGCATTCAGCATTAAAACCTTTTCATTGCTTGGAGTGTGAGTATGCTTGCACCACAAAAGATGGCTTGAAACAACATTTTCTGCGAAAGCATTCTGCAGAAAAACATATTCAGTGCTCTGAGTGTGATTTTGTTTGCAAATTAAAAATTAACTTGAAAAATCATTTTTTTCGAAAGCATTCTGCAGAAAAACCTATTCAGTGTTCTGAGTGTGATTTTCTTTGTAAAACAAAAGGCGAGTTCCAAAGTCATTTTCTTCACAAACATTCAACAGAAAAACCTTATCAGTGTTCTGAATGTGATTATGCTTGTGCATTAAAAAGTAATTTGAAAAGACATTGTCTTCAGAAGCATTCAACAGAAAAACTGGTTCAGTGCTCTGGGTGTGATTATGCTTGCGCCACAAAAGAGGAATTGAAAAGTCATTTTCTTCACAAACATTCAGCTGAGAAGAAATTTCAGTGTTCTGAGTGCAATTATGCTTGTGCCATTAAAAGCCAACTGAAAGTACATTTTCTTCGCAGGCATTCAAAAGAAAAAAATATTCAGTGTTCGGAGTGTGAGTATGCTTGCACCACAAAAGTTGACTTGATACAACATTGTCTTCGAAAGCATTCTGCAGAAAAACCTATTCAGTGCTCTGAGTGTGATTATGCTTGCATCACAAAAAGCGAGTTGAGAAGTCATTTTCTTTATAAACATTCCACTGAAAAACCTATCCAGTGTACTGAGTGTGATTATGCTTGCAAGAGCAAAGGGGCATTGAAACTTCATTTTCTTAACAAACATTCAACCAAGAAACCTATTCAGTGTTCTGAGTGTGAATATGCTTGCACCACAAAAGCGAAATTGAAACTCCATTTGCTTAACAAGCATTCAACAGAAAAACCATTCAAGTGCTCCAAGTGTGATTATGCTTGTGTCACTAAATCGGGCATGGAAGCACATTTTCTTCGAAAGCATTCTGCAGAAAAACCTCTCCAGTGTTCAGAGTGTGATTATGCTTGCACCACAAAAGTGTACTTGAAACGTCATTTGCTCAACAAGCATTCAACAGAAAAACCATTCAAGTGCGCCTCGTGTGATTATGCTTGCGCCACAAAAAGATATCTAAAAAGACATCATCTTAGCAAGCATTCAACAGAAAAAGCCCATTCTATGCTTCAAGCATGATATGTGTCACTAATGCATCGTTTAATAGAAGCTACTCTCCTGGCTCCATCAGAAACCGATACAGTGACCCAAGTGTGAAGTTGCATGTGGATGTAGAGAGCTCGACACAAGACTCAAATGCAGAACATTCAAATTTTTTAGATAGGACCAAGACAATGGAATATGATGCTTGACTCTAGAAACAACCCATGCCAATTTAAGGTATGAAAAGAACTTTAAAAAATTAGCTCTATATTACTAGGCCTCCAACTTGTATTATAGCCCTTCAGGACCTATTATTATGCAATGATATAAAAAAATGAAGACTCAATATTTCCTTGATATTGAAGTCCATTTTGTATTTTTTGCACTTCAGTATGAATTCTTGAATACTTTTTTGGTCATTTTTGTCATCATTGCCAGCAAAATATACTTCACAGCAATTTTTAGTTACTATTTTAAGTAAGCCCAACCAACTGTAAATTTAACATCAATTTTAACTCTTGCGTTAATTTAATTTGTATACTGCATTTTCTCAAAGTGAAATATAAAAAAACCCACATCAGTTTTCAAGAAGAAAATTTATTTTTTATAATTATATTTAGACACAGTATGTTTTTTTTTAACTAAAACCTCCTGTTTGATGTTATTTTTGGTTTAAATCAACTTAAGATTCCATAAAACTAGTTTTAAAAATATTACTCATTACTAAAAGCCTGCAGTCGAGTGTGTGAAATGAGAGGAGCCAAGTACATAAACTTTTGTCCGTTTTACCATGCAACCAGTTGATGATTTAGGTCATTAAATAGACTCTAATCTTGATAAACTCGGCAAAATAAGGCTGGTAATGAAGAAAGATCAAACCCTCAAAGTATATATTATTTTTAAAGACAAATTGCTCTCAGAAAAATTTTTACCAGTGTTTTTTTTTTTGGCTCACTGAGTTTTCTTCAAGCACAGGTTTCTTTTCACTCTTACATAATTTATGTTCCTAGATAATAACTACTAGTGTTACAAGACTGGCAACTTTTGAGTTAATGTACTAGTAATAGTTGTGAAGTTTCAGTGCTAAGTGCAATTCTCCAAAAGAAATGGGAAAAAAAACTGAAGAATAGTTTTAAAGTCAAGCAATATACATAAGCCAAGGCACCCACCGCCGCCAAGGAAGAGGGGCTCAGCTGTTCAATGTCCCTTGAAGGCGGCAGTCGCTTGGGGCGGCGTGGATATGAAAGAGAACGACGAAGCCTATCGCTTGTTGGGGCCTGAATGCTGCGACATTGAATATCAGCAACCATTTTCCTTGAAGCCCTCCTAGGGGCTGGAAGCCGTTGATATAGTGAGAGAAGAAAATGAGTAAAGCTCATCGAGAAAACTCACGATGGCTTCGGTTCATTGAATTTCACATCGTTTATGGTGTAAGCATTTGTTTTAGGTTCCTGTTGGCGGATTTTAGCGAATATTATTAATTGATGCTAAACTAGCTCTAAAATAGCGATGTCGTAAGTTTATTGATAAGTGATTACTTCTTCGTATGTGGTGCATTTCCAGAACAAGTCTTGTTCGTGCATCGTCATCAATTTGCTCTGACTTTTACTGCTTATGGATTAATTCCTTTAGTTTGGTATTTTCCTGTTGAAACACAAAGTAACCCACTCATATGGTGGCTGTTATACCACTAAAACAAGGCGGTATAATCCTACTCAACCACCAGATGGCCGGGAGCGAGCTTATTACCAACCCGTTTTATCGAGCGGCTGTCGTCTTGCTGCGCTCACGTCCAACGCATTTGTTGACGATACAGGGTCATCGTTTTTTGGGTCGTATTTTGTCGCTGAAATCTCGCTCATGTAGCAGCTTATCCTTGCATTAACTGTGAATCCCCAGAATCACATTGATAATTTAAAACTAGAGTTTGTTAGAAGATTTTCAGAACGAGACTCATATGAACCAGCATTTAACATCGAATTCAACATATGTTTATTTTTGTGGAAATTATAGTTATTTAATTTTTCATGACTAATTTCGTGCCGGAATAATTCACCATTACAATTTAGATCCTTTTTAGTATTTGCAGATAGGACCTATCGTCATTTGGGAGCGAGATTATATTTGGTAGAGTCAGAGGCCAGTAGCTCTTGTGAGTTGTGTGCACTCTTTAAGGCTGAACCCTGGCGATTTGTGTTCTATAAGATACCAATGTTAAGTTCTCTCAAGAAACATGAATACTGTGAGACAATATTTCTGATATACGAGGCATGATGCCTTGTGTCTAAATTATCAACATAAATATTAAAGTTTCACCTGGCTAAGTAATGAGTAGAGAATTGATGTTTCTGTTATTGAATGTTACCTCATTTTGCACTTCAACTTTCAAGTCTGAAATCTATATTGCAAATGATGCACCCGCTTTGATCTGATCTCTTCTGACGTCAAAGGGGTGATTATCAACCAACACAATGGAGAAGAAGTGACATGGATGTTACAACGCAGTTTTTCACTTTATAGCGGTGGCCCCTGGTGTTGGTTCTTGCGTTAAATTCTAGTAATCCTTCTGGGACCCTGTGCAATCCGTGGGTATACTCTTACACTTCAATGAGGTCTGCACACATCAGTCGATAAGAAACGTGATAATTTTTCATTATGAGACTTGCTCTTTAGGCCTGGAATTATCCTTGCAGTGGCTGTATGGATGATATCGACGTTTGTACAACTATTTTGTCTTTGAGGTTTCCGGAAATAATTTCCATGATCCAGCATCATATGGCAGAAATTCTTGCCCGAGTAGCCGCCCTCGGGGCAAGCTCAATCTTCTACATGATCTAGCCACTATAAGTGGCCAGTACTAGCCACTATAAGTGGCCAGTACTAACCGCCACTAATAATCGGGCAACTGGCCACGTGTTGAAGGTTACTGACTACTTCAGGGGCAGGAAAGCGAGACGGCCAGTAGTTGTTTACAAGACCAACTTGCTGTCGCCTGATCTGCTGAGAATTAGGACAGATAAGATTGATAAAGGGTAACTTTGCGCAAGTATTAAAGTTACAGAAATTAGTGAAAATCCATCTATGGAACAACGTTCACCGTAGACTGTGAGGGATATTTATTTTTTTGTTTCTAAAAACACCAGATACTATTGAACGAAAATTATTACATTTCTTAATTGCATTTATGTTATCACAATTTCAATAGATTTCGAAACAATTTCATGTCAAACCAAGATCTAATTCCTTTCATCGATTTTGATAATAACTCATCTAAGTTGACGGTACATAAATTTTATCACCTGAATTTTCGGTACAAATGCCATTTTTCGACGATTATTGTAACAGCAACCCTGGCGTTCATCAGGAAATTATAGCTGGATGAATTTTAAACTTTACTTTTATCAATTTACATCACAATCAATGAGCGAGACTTGTTTTAATAAAAATTCTCATACACTATTGATTTTTTGATGAACTTTTAGAATGAACACCAGGGGCCGCGGCTATAAACTAAAAAACTGAGTTGTAACACATCCATGCGACAACATTTCTTCTCGCTTCGAGTCACCGACATGTCGAACAGCCTCCCTGATAGCATCGTTGACGCTCCGAGTATGAACGCCTTCAAGAACAGACTAGATAAAGCTATGGAAAAATATATGTTCAGACTTTAAATGCCTAGCACCATATCGAACTCGGTGGAAGTCTAGCAGCTACTTCAAACTATCGTCAGTCATGAAAAGATCCGGTCAAATAACGCGAATTTAGATCTTCTGTGAACAAGTCACGAAAAGTTCAAGTATCGGCGACAGGCCACATCAGGCCTACTCTTCATCGCCGAGATCACTATGTTTAAGGTGTTATGTGGAACAGCCTCCCTGATAGTATCGTTGACGCTCCGAGTATGAGCGCCTTCAAGAACAGACTAGACGAAGCTATGCAGGAGCATATGTTCAGTCTTAAAATGCCTAGCAAATTACGGACCAGGCAATAAGTCCAGACGAAGCAATGCAGGAGCATATGTTCAGTCTTAAAATGCCTAGCAAATTACGGACCAGGCAATAAGTCCAGCAGCTATCTCAATCAATCGTCAGTTATGGAAAGATCGGGTTCCAAAGGCCGGATCCCTTGTGAATCAAGTCACGAAAAGTTCAAGAAGTGGCAACAGGCCATGGGCCTATTTCTTCAGTGCCGACACTTCTGTTCTAAATAAAGTAGTTTGCCACAGCTGCCAGCTGTTCCCAATAATTATTTTTCATGAATATAATGTTATGTTATGTTGCGTGTGGTGTTATGCTACACTGTTATTACCATCAGCAAACAATACTATTGTTATTATTTTTTTCAGCATCCTATACTGTTTTGAGATATGGAAATTGATAGGATTGGCAAATTAAATGTTTACTTGAAGAAATAGAATACACTCATTAATGAAACAGAACATATTCATTAAACAAAAAATAAATATTCATTAATCCATCAAAAAATATTTATCAAACAAATAAAGAAAATATTCACCAATCAAGTACTAAGGAAAATTCATTAAATAAACATAAAATATTCACTATTCAAATGAAGAATATGCATTAATCAAACAGAAAATATTCATTATTAAAATAAAAAATATTCATTAATCAAACAGAAAATATTCAATACTCAAACTTGAGAATTCAAGGGAGAATTTCATTTAACACAATAAAACAAGTGAACAAGAAAAGTTCACAAATTTCCATTCACCGTACTACTAACTATTATTAATCAGAGAACTTGACGATACAGAGATATTGAGTACACACAACTAAACAATAGTAAGAAAAATTTCCATTCAAAACAAGAACCGTACCTACTACTAACTATTATCAATCAGAGTATATCCATACATCAAACTCGACAATAAAGAGCGATGTTGACTACACACAACTAAACAATTGCAGGAAATTTTTCAAACATTTCCATTCAAAACGAGAACTGCACTATACTTTACAACTAAACTATAATCAATCAGAATACATTAGTCAAACTTCAGAGTACAAAGGACTAGTTGAGTTCACACAACTGAACAATTGCAAAAAAATGTTAAAAATTTCCATTGAAAACAAGACCATAAACACAGAAGCTTATATAAATTGGAAATATTAATCTAATTTCCGCGGAAATACAATAAAAATCTTCATTTCTACAGCCTTTTTCTTTCTGCTTCCTTGCAAGTAATTTCATACTTTGGCACTTTCCACAGCATCCTCGTTGCAGCGAGTCACTACCTTAGCACTTATGAAATTCAGCCTCTATACATACTAAGAGTATATAGTCAATACCCTGGCACTTGAGAAATTTAGCCTCTATATATACTAACAGTATACATGTATACATACTCTAGCTAGTAGGAAGCAGTCATCCTCTTTCAACTGGCGTCTACGTCGCTCAAGATTCTCTTTGATGTTCTTCATGTCATCATATAAAATGACAGCTTTTTCGAAGTACATGACAGTTCTTCACTCAGTAATTTTTTGTCAGCCAAGTTTGTAATTTGAGAGTTTAATGAAACAACTCAGGCCATCAGCAGGTGTTGCTGGTGGTGGTTGTGGCGTGTCTAGTCAGAGGGTAGAATCTGTTGTGTCACTGGATGAGAGGAGCTGGTGAGGGTGTTGCTGGTGGTGGTTGTGGCGTGTCTAGTCAGAGGGTAGAATCTGTTGTGTCACTGGATGAGAGGAGCTGGTGAGCGTGTTGCTGGTGGTGGTTGTGGCGTGTCTAGTCAGAGGGTAGAATCTGTTGTGTCACTGGATGAGAGGAGCTGGTAAGGGTGTTGCTGGTGGTGGTTGTGGCGTGTCTAGTCAGAGGGTAGAATCTGTTGTTTTGTCAGATAAGGAGTAGTAGTAAAAAAGTAGTATTTTTGAGGCGACTGGATGCTTTATAAAAGTTGGTGCTCTTTACAAAGGATGTTTCTTTCTTTGAATTGGATCCAACATAATACATCCCCCTTTAGCCTCACTAGGGAATAACAAATTATGGTCCTCATCCTCCATATCATCCTCTTCCTTTCCTTAGCTTTATCCATCAATGTTTGATGTATTCCAAAAGAAGTTTGTCTGTGCTATAGTCCACTGCTTCACTTAGGTAACACCTTGCCGAGAAGGCATTTCATGAAATCGCGTTCTCTTTTTATCCTTGCTACGACTGGAGCCATTTTCTTTTCATACTGGTCAGCTTGTTTAAAAATGCTCTGGATGAATTCTGATACTCTTCCTGACCTTTCTACGACTGCCGAGATTGTGATATTTCTATCTGAGATACTTGTACAGAGATTCAAATATTGAGCAATTTCATCTTTTTGAGCATCCTTCAGATCCGAACGCTTTCGGGATTCCATGATAATACATTGACAAAACTCCTGGAAAGTGAAGTTGAATATTTTAATAACTTTGGTCTCATTAAAGATAAGATTGTCTGCTATGTTGTCGGCTGCTGAGGGTGAAAGAGATTGCACCTCGGTTGCAGAGGAGATGGAGGAAACAAACACTGGAGCAGCATTTTGTGTGTCCTGAGTGAGCTCCACGCGGTAAAAATGCACGTATGTCTGGAGCAATCCAGCATAATTCGCGCTCACACGGATGTGGCACCATATTTTTTCTCCAGTGATTTTGTACAAGATGGCTTCTTTAGTTATTGCTTGGGGTTTTCGAAAGGATTCCATGTTGAATGTCATTAACGCCAGGGAATGGCTACCAGTTTCGATTCCGATCACCGTCATTAAAATTTCTCCAAGGCGTATGGCATTTTCAACGGAGGGTGCAAATGCGAGCAGTTCAGCTGGAATGGCAGTGCTTTCTTTCTTTAGCAGAGCTACTTGCCTCACCTTAGCCAGCCATGACGCAATTGTGGGCGATTTATAGAACTTGTTTACCACCTGAATTAAAATGGGCACATATAGCTCGTCTGGCTCGTTAGAATGGGCATAAAATTCTTCTTGTTCATGCCTTCTAAATATCTTCATCTGTGTGGCGACGAGATCTTTTACGCTTGGTACATTGCAATTACCAATGATATCAAATGGTAGCTGCAGGTCGTTTAGATGATCGGCAAACATCACGACAGAATTGAAGGTCTTCTTTATTTCCTCACCGGTGACGATTCCGGCACATTTCAGCCGGTACGACGTCATGCCTCGGTTTATCACTCGCACAACTTCGGTGATACCCATGTCTTTCCTGTCTGTCTTGTCCGTGTCCGATATATAGCAGAATATGACCGTCAAGAAGTCTTCAAAAGACCTGTTCGCTATCTCCCTTCCTTTTGCTGACCTTGCAGATTGAAGCAGGTGCACGTGGAAGTTGTTCAAGACTTCGTTTAGTTTTGGAAATAATTCTTTGAATTTGGCCATGTTGTACATGCCAACCGCTTGCGAGGCTAACGGCGCTCCTTTTCTCCACACGGGCTGGTCGGTCTCGTCGGCGGTTTTCACGAAAGGTTTTGGTGCTTGCAAGTTGAAATCGAAGTCAGAGATATGGCCGCGTGTCACATCACGTCGCATTTCTTCGACAACATCTTCCGGCACTAACTTATTTAACGGTTGGCCACTGATGGGGATCGCGGTCAGCTGAACAAGTCGTTTGTGTAGCAGGGCTTTTTTCACAATGATCATGGCGGCCCCGTTGTGTTTCTTGTGGGTATTTATCAAGTGTTTCCTCAGATTTCGAATCGCGTATGGCTTGCTGCATACTTCACAAAGAACAAAATAACGCTGTGTTACCGTCTCACCAACCGAAAGATTTCTGTAGGAATAAGGATGAAGAGCCTGTTTGAGGGGCAACTCTACTTTTGAGAGTGTGCCATGAGGTCGCTTAATACTCCCGTGTTCTTGAACTGTCTGACGAGGTCGCAGTTGGTAGCGATATTCGCTGGCTGTTTCTCTGCATACGTTCTTATACTTAGACTCAATATTCTCTTTATAGTTCCCGCTGCTAGACTCTGCTGCATCCGGTGAATCGGGTTCTGTCAACAAAACAAATGACCGCTTCAGACGCAAGGAATGAATGTTCACCAATAGTGTTCACAGCAGCCAAATCATCACGGGTAATATATGATCTAATCAAGTTAATTAATACCCTAATGTTAATTAATTATAGTTCGAATGATAACTCACCATTTAGCTTCCACCTTGCCTGACCCACAAGATGACAGAGGTGGAGTTTGCTGGCAGAGGTAACAGTCAAGAACAGAATTTATTAACAAATTGTTACAAGGACATATTAAGAATGCATTTTCAATTCTCACATTAAAATAGGACTATTTCAATGATGATAGTGTACATAGAACCATATTAGTCAGGGCAAATATGTATAACCAGTTTTGCATGATAAAATGAAATTAATTGTACTCTTTGGTATATACATGGGTTGGACACAGTAAGGGAAACAACTGACATTTTGATATAATAATTTATGAATATGCTATAAACAATGAAAGCATAACACATTTTTACATTTTATTGTTTATTGTTGCTGCTAATTGATATTTTATTTATGCAGATATTTTTAGTAAATTTTTGCGACTCTAACCTCACCTATATAAATAGCAAGCCTCTCTGACTTTCAAAGAGGCCAAATTGTTGGTGCCCATATGGCAGGTGCTAGTGTGACAGAAACTTCCAAATGCTTGATGTTTCTAAAGATACTGTCTCAGAAGTAAAGACTGCTTTTGAAAGAGAAGGAAAAACTTCCTCAGTAAAGCACAGGTCGAATTGTGAGGGACAGTCAGAAAACCACAGTTGTTTAAATTACTGCATACAGCAATGGACACCTACAGAGCCCAGTTTCTATAAAGACTGTCTGCCAAAAGCTGCACAGATCTGGAAGAGCTACAATTACAAAACCCCTGGTTTGAAATGCAAATGCTTCAAAGCATTAAGAGTGGTGCAAAAGCCTCCAGAATGGGGCCCTCGAGCAGTGGTAAATGTGATTATTTATGACAAATCATTGTTTACCTTCATATCCAACCTCTGGTCAAGTTTATGTTAGGAGACAGCCAAAATTCATCTAATCCTGACTGCCTCTTCCCAATTGTAAAAAAAATACTTAAAAAAAATTTTTAAAAATCCACGTTTTTCTTGTGGACTAAAAAGTAGAAAATAAATTGTGGCTCGCCCCAAAAAACGTGGATCGGGCTGTACGTTCACCATCAAATTTCCGAAATTCGTGTGTTGTGTGCTTTTCGCTTTAATCATAAATCTTATCTTATTTGGCCACCACAATCACCAGACCTGAATATTATTGAGCATTTACAGTCAATGACAGAGATGCCAGTCAGAAGTCAATTCCCATAGCCATTATCTTTAAAAGAGCAGGAGGGAGTTTCAACTGAAGAATGCATTAAAATTCATTTGGAAACAACCAACAATTTGTATAAATTCAATACCTTGTAGAACTGAGGCTGTAATTGCCAAAAGAGGTGGACCTACACCATACTAAAATATATTTTGCGGATTTCTCGGGCATTTTCCTTATTTTGTCTAGCCTCTTATTTTGTCTACTAGTGTATATATAGCCAATCAATAGAGAATTGTTTAGTATAAACCATTCTCAAAAGGAAATCTCATTAATGTTCATGAACCTGACCTTTCTACCTTTAGTCTTGCCATGAATGAAGATATAAACAATATTCATAAATATTTAGATGCCAATGTTAAATAATCAATGATAACAAGTATCTGGCAACTATTTCACTTGCTTTTCATAGGTTTATCTTTTGAAAATATGTTATCTTCACTTACATGCTTTGTCGTGACTTGAATCACCTCTGAGAGAAGAGATGAGCCACTTGTCTCTGCAGATAGAAAGAAGCAATTTGGATTAACATGATACTAATAAAAGATAGCAGCACAATGACAAGAATGAAACAAAAATTCAGTGTATCCTATAAATTAGGTACAATTTACTCTTACTAACTTAAAACACAAAATATCATATAATAAGGGACATTTTTCTTTTAACTTCATCACACATCTTTAAATAATTGGTGCATCCCTAGATGTGCAGCTTACCAACAGCCTTGACTTTACAAACAGAAGGCTTTGGCAGGAGGTTCTTTCTTGACTGCATCTTCAGAGTTTCTGCATCTTAACATGACATTCATTTATACACCCATATTATCATATTATGATGGGTCCAAGTTAAACTGAAGCTTGTTTATAATTAAAAATAACAATGAACAAGCAAAAAAGAACCTACAATCAAAAAGGAAATGGTAGCACTCTGCACGTGTTCTGTTTGTTTCACAGAAAAAGCCCTGTTGGTTGAGGTACACTGCCATTAGTAAGGTATTAGTTTTCATACAATTGGCAACACAATTATTTCACACAGAAGTACTGATTACTAGTAATATTCAACTCAGAACCAGCACACAATGCTGGTTTTATATAATTTTAACTCACTCAGGAGATTATCAATATCCAAATAAGGCATATAAATTAGACTTTACCTGCAAATCTTTTTTTCCCTGTAAAAATGGTAACTCCTTTGGAAATTTTAGAAACAGCTTTTAAAAATTGATCACATGTCCAACTGTGAATAAACTGAGACATCATGGATGCTTTTTAAGATTTCAGGTGGTTGTACATTAAAAAAATCACAAAAACTAAACTGAAGAATTTTAATAACTCAATAGCCTATTTCTGAACTAGTACTCCAAGCAATATTTAAAACTTGTTTGTAAGATATATATAATCATTTAATTACTGAAGATAAATTGGGTATGTTTATTAATTGAAACTTCAACTCCTGTTTAGCAAAACTCTTGGTTTATTCTTTTTATAAAATCTAATCTATTTTTGCTGCTAATCAATAACTAACATATAAATAAAAAACAAAAAATAACATGTACCAATAACTATTAGCTATCAATAGTAAGATAAAGCCTGTAAATTTGTTTAGAATGTGGAAGTCAAGAGTTCAGATACATGTATATTAAGGGGACCGTCTTGGTCAAAAATAGAAATATTGGCTTTCCTGTTTTCTTGACTCATTTTGTAGCTGCCATGGATATACCTGCAATACTTTTTGTGTAATGCAGTCTTAAACTTTCATAAAATGACCATTTTATAACAATATTTACAAATTTTCGATTTAAAAATGGTATTTATAGATCAGCATTTGCATTAGTTGCATAGGGTTAACCCTAATTTCAAAGCTACAAAGAATGTGCATTTAAAAAAGCAAATATACTGGATGTACATGCAATAATTTTTGCGTAATGCAGTTTTGAACTTATATAAAATGAATATTTTACATATATATATATATATATACATATAAATGTAAAAAATCACATTTATAGCTTATTATTCACAGTAAACTGGACAGGAATAAGTCTAAAGACGTGTGCTGGTACCCTAAATGCAAATCATTGGCAATGGGGAAGCTTGGGCTGCAATATCAACAATTTTTGGGGGATATTCTTTTTTCAAAAAATTCTACTTTATTTGGCTCCCTTGAACAATTTAAAAATCCAAAAAAGCCATCTTAAAAAGTTTATAACTCCTGCAGTATTCAAGCTACAGCAATAAAAGACATACCATTCGATTTGAAATTAGAATATCTAGCAACTCTCGAAGCCCTTTTTCGGATTTGTGCAAGCCTTGACTTCTATCTGAGGGGGGGGGGGTGGTGGGGGCAGGGCTTTAGTCAAAATTCTGAAAAAATGCCCATTAAAAGCAAATGATGAAGAAAATAAAAAATTGGGGCTCCAGAATTAAACAAATTATCAATTTCAACTTCTATCTAACAATTATAGTCCATTCCAAAATTAAATAAACAAATTTTTTAGCAATGTTCCTATACATGTTTCAATCAGTAAAACTAGTGATTGAAGTTTTTTTTTACTAAAATCATACTTTTTAGTGCATATTCTCATATATGGAAAAAAGGCACTATTGTGCTCATCATGTCCATCAGGTACAGGTGGTTATTCAGTGTTGTTTTAGCTGAAATCTCAGTTTCTGAATGATGTAATTGAGATGTGTGACTCCAGGATAAGTACAGTACTTGTCTACTGAGTACCTAGGTACTGTGTTGTGTGTTCTAAGTACTGTTGTTGTCACTCCAAGGGAATGCAGAGTTTGATGGCTGTTGTAAAAGCAAAGAGGTGTTCTCTTCTCAATGGTATAGTTCAGTGGTTCCCAAAGTGGGCGATATCGCCCCCCTAGGGGCGATGGAAAGATTTTGGGGGGCGGTAAGGAAGAGGGTGATAGGGGGGCGACAGTCTGAAGTCAAAGTCAGAAGTTCGAACGTTTGTTTGACGATTTGTACACAACACATGCAGCACTTGACTCCCAGTGATGGTTTTTTCACCCAGACCTGTTTTTAGCGCATTTTCTCATTTATGGAAAAAATACACTATTGTGCTCGCCATGTCCGTCCGCCTGTCTGTCCGTCTGTCTGTCCATCCGTGACTTCAAGTTTTCGTCGACGAGAAAATGCGCTCTCTGTCACTCACTGCAGTGAGTACCAAGTTATATTTTTTAACCTCTCCTGGGTTTACGTCTCCGACAAATTAACGGCCGGTCTCACAACTAATTTCCATATTCAATGATCAAGGAATATCTCTCAAACTAATGAACTTAATGAAACTTGGTACACGTATTCATTAGGACCTAATGGTACGGTAATGTAAAGCTCGTGAAAAATTTTTGAATTTTGCCTTCAATTGTTTTTGCCATACTTATATGGCAATACAAGCCGAAATTCACAGTGATCAAGGAATTTCTTCCAACCTACTGAACAGATTCGAACAAAATTTTGAATTTAGTCCTAAGTACCAAACGGTTATGTTCAGCTCGTGAAAATTTTTTCACTTGTGCCCTCGTTCGCGAGTTTCATTCGTGATTTAAACAGCAAAACGTGCTTAACTTCGCAGTAATCAAGAAATTTCTTCCAAACTAATGAACAGATTTGAACGAAAATTAGTATTTTAATACCTAACCTCCGCAACGGTCTTGTTTAGCTCGTTACAATTTTTTCGTTTTGCCTTTGTTTGCGAGTTATACGGCTAAACATAAACGGCTCTTGGTTAAACCAGCCGGTAGAAAAGCCGGTCGTTCCTCCTATATCTGTATAACTTTCGAACGAAAGCGAATATGGAAGTGTGAAATCAAGAATGACGGTGAAATGAAAAAATCTCCCAAACGACGATATAATCAAAAAAATTTTTTAATCTAAGAAACACCATTTGGTAGTTAGGAATGTATATTCAAAATTTCGTTCAAATCTGTTTGGTAGTTTGGAAGAAATTCTTTGATCACTGCGAATTTCGGCCTGTATCGCAATATAACTCACGAATGAAGGTGATATTTAAAAAAATTTTGCAAGCTAAACAACACCGTCAAGTTGTGATGAATACATGTTACAAGTTTTATTGAGCTGTGTTCATTAGTTTGGGTGATGTTACTTGATAATTGAATTTGGAGCTTGGCCGTGAGACCGGCCACGAGTCCGGCCGTAAATTTGCCCGGGACGTCCTAGGTTTCTAGGGCTGAAACTGTTAAAATGGCTGAAAAACATATTGGTTCACTAAAAGGGGTTCTATTTGTGAAATACACATTTGTGTTTAACCTTTATCTTTTAAAATTGCAGCGTACTAAATTTTATAGAAAGAGGCGCATGATTTTATATGTGTCTGTGGGGGGGCGCTAGAAATTCACTAGCAAACCAAAGGAGGCGCCAGCCTGAAAAAGTTTGGGGACCACTGATATAGTTTAATACACAGGGTCCTCTTTCCATCCTAAGTTCCATTGCAGCCAAGGAGAACTATGTCAGTGACATTAGAGGAACTTTATTACCAGCCATTTTGTAGAATTCCACTGTTGGTATCCATGATACTCTGCTAGTCTGCTTGGAGGACTGGAAAATGAGCTTGAGGAAGTCTAAAGAAATCCGTGTTTTCCCACTGTGGGCTGCATTGTAAGTTGTATCACTCATACAGGCACTGGAACATTGGCATATTGCATACAACAACTTTTCAGTTCTGTGAAAGGAAGTAAATTTTGGGAGAATTTATCAATTTCATACTAAGATATATGCATTTCTCCAAATGTATTAAAGTATGCTGTGGCCCAATTTTGTGCATGCATGAAAATTAAGTATGTCTGTAAGCCAAGGTGCAGAGTTTGCTGAATACATTGCCAATTTTTGCATTTGTAGACAGAAAACATTGCCCACAGTACTCAATATGCATCACCATGTTGCCGGCAGTCTCCAAGATGAGACACTGCATTACCAGCACTCTTCAAAATGGGTTTCAAACTTAATTTTCATAAAAAATTTTACAAAACCAATTTAGAGAAGTGTATCTTTAGCACCCCAAGTATTGCAGTGGAAAATTGCATTGCAACCAAAATTACCAAATTGTGGATCAGAAACTGGAAATTTTTAAAATTATGCAGCCACTGGTGTACCTCCTGTTCTGCATTTAGCATTGCCAAAGATGCATGAATATCTAAAATTCTATAATTTCAATCCAAATGTGATGGCAAGACCCTCTGAAGTCATAAATTTTGCCACTGATGCATCACTAAAGATCTTCAGATATTCACCCACTTTCTGCACCTCCAGTCTGTAAGGGAAGAGAAATTTCCAATGGGGGCAAGTTAACTGATGAACACAAAGAATAAAGTAACACTTGCATAGGTATAGTAACAAAAAAAAAAATAAATAGCATATAAATAATTCACACAAAATGAGACTGAAGGTCATGCAAAATAAAATTCAACAAGAATCAGATGAGATAACAAACCAATACTGGATTTATCTACCAAATTTTATATTTTTGCTGGCCTCTACACCTTCTACTTCCTACTAGCAGTACCTTTTCTCATGAAGAGAAGGGGGAAGCAAGAATCTGAGAACTCAGTAAGCCAGTCTTGTCTCAAAATCATACACTCAGGATAAGCGTGGAATTCTGGATAGGTAATATATTCTCACATTTATATAAGAAAATGGATCAAAGAGCCTACCACGTTACACCTTCCATCACAGTGACACTGAACTAGTCAGAAACTGCCATGCTTCAGATATCGTGCATGGATTGGAATTTGATACCGGGCTGGCAGCGCCTTACTTGATTAAATTCACTAATTGTTTGTCAGTATCTGACAAATTTTTGCATTGAATGTTCTTAAATAAAAAAATTACTTCAACTTTCACAGAAAATTTCCACTATTTGACCAATACCAACAAAATTTTTGAAATCGCACAAAATTATGGGATAAACTGCAAATCTTTCATGGCA